TCTCTCTCTCTGTCTCTCCATCTCTCTCTCTATATATATCTCTCTGTCTCTCTCTTTCTCTCTCTGTCTCTCTCTGTCCTTCTGTCTCTTTCTCTCTCTATCTGTCTCTGTCTGTCTCTCTGTTTGTCTCTCTTCTCTGTCTCTGTCTGCCTCTTGCCCCTTCCTTCCCTCCCTCTTTCCCTCTCTGTTTCTTTCCCTCCCCTCCCTTTACCTGCCTCCCTCTCTCTCTCTGTCTCTCCCTCCCTCCCCTCTCTCCCCTTCCTTCCCTCCCTCTTTCCCTCTCTCTGTTTCTCTCTCTCTCTTCCTCTCTGTCTCTATCTCTGTCTTTTGTCTCTCTCTCTCCCTCCTTCCCTCCCTCTCTCTCTCTGTATATTTATGTGTGTGTTTCTCTATGTATACATACATGTATTATGCATTTCTATGTGAATATATGTGCGGATAATATTGTACATACATGTATACATTAGAGGCAGCATGGCATAGATAGTGCACTAGTCTCAGAGCCAAGAAAACTCAGGTTCAAATTGATGATGATGATGATGATGATGATGATGATGATGATGATAGCTAACATTTATAGAGTACTTACTATGTGCTATATATTGTGCTAAGCACTTTTCAGTTATTATCTCATTTGATCTTCACAAAAACCCTGGGCGGTAGGGGCTATTATTATCCCCATTTTATACATGAGGAAACTGGCAAACAGAGGTTAAGTGACTTACCCAGGGTCACACAGCTGGTAACTGACTGAGGCTGGATGTGAACTCAGGTTTTCCTGACTCCAGGCCCAGTGCTCTATTAACTCTACTAAACTCAGCTGCTTCTATCACATACTGCCTATAATGACCCTGGACAAGTCACTTGACTTCTCAATACTCTAGGCCAGGGGTGGGGAACCTGCGGCCTCGAGGCCACACATGGCCCTCTAGGTCCTCAAGTGCAGCCCTTTGACTGAATCCAAACGTTGGATTCAGTCAAAGGGCTGCACTTGAGGACCTAGAGGTGGCCTCGAGGCCGCAGGTTCCCCATATCTGCAGTCTAACAATCTTGAAGCTGCAGAGAAGGTGCTGACTTACATTGGTAGAAGTTCTCTTATCAATTTTCTTCATATACCAATGAAATCAGACATCCAACCCCTATTCATGTATAAGATAGATAGATATAAATGTGTATATATATACACACATATGTATATACACATATGTATATATATATGGCAGTGTGTATACACACATATGGTATAGATCTGTGCTTTCATTGGTATGGGGATCTCCTGGTGAGAAAAGGCCCTTTATTTCATTTTTTTTTTTAGGCAATTGGGGTTAAGTGACTTGCCCAGGGTCACACAGCTGGTAAGTGTCAAGTGTTTGGTCTGAGGCCAGATTTGAACTCAGGTCCTCCTGCCTTCAGGGCCGGTGCTCTATCCACTGTGCCACCCAGATGCCCCTTGAAAAGGCCCTTTAAGAATGCATATTTGCCACTCTTCTACGATTTCCCATCATAGATAGTTTGCTCAGGTATTTAACAATTAAGAGACTTGAGTCCCAGACCCAATTCATGCCAGAGGCAGGACTTGAACCCAGGTCTTCCTGCCTCCAAGGCTATACCTTTATCCTCTATATTGTACTGCCTCTCTGACAGTACATATGTATGTGTTTATGTGAATGTGTATACATATATGTATACATACTGTGTATACATATACATTGCTCAGTCGTTCTGATCGTGTCCAACTCTTCATGACCCCCATTTAGTGTTCTCTTGGCAAAGATACTGGAGTGGTTTTCCATTTCCTTCTCCAGTTCATTTTACAGATGAGGAAACTGAGGCAAACAGGATTAAGTGACTTGCCCAGGGTCACACAGCAAGTGTCTGAGGCCAGATTTGAACTCAGATCTTCCTGACTCCAGGTCTAGCACTCTATCCATTGTGCCACCTAGTTCTCCCTTGTACATATACATAGATATATGTATATATACACATACATACATATGTACTTACATGTATATGTAGAAGGAATATGTTATATTAGATAGCATACTATGTTTGTGTAGTGGATAGAATTCTAGGTCCATATTTGAAAAGATCTAGATTCTTATCCTATCTCTTATACTTAACTAGATGGGCAAAGTGATGCCTTAACTAGTGATGCCTTAACCTCTAGTTATCTTGGGCAGCTCTCTAGGCATTAACCCTTACAGAAGGTCATAGAAGGGAGGAGGGAGTTCCCACATATGAAGTTCCCTGTTGAATCACAGATCCTCTAACTACACATCCTTCTAAAATATACATCTATGCACATACACTTATGTTTATGCTAACATATGTGCTATACATAGCAACAAGAAACTTGTAAGCTGTAAAGCAATAAACAAATATAAGGTGTTATTACTACCAAGAGACACACATTTATGTTCTAGTGTTATTGATTAAATCTATTGCCTGAGGTAGTGGGTGAAGATGGAAATTTATGAGACAAAAAAAAACCCCAACATGTAAAATTATACATTTTTACTTAGTGCTTTATGGGTTTGCAAAATGCTATACATGTTACTATATAACATGATTTTAAATTTAACATAAACTTGAGTAGCAAAAGGAAATGTAATAATAATTTTCCCACCATCTTATATACTCAAGGCCATGAGAATATCCTTACTCATTCCTTGTCCTGACATACAATGATGGTAAGTACTCATTGGTTTCCCTGCCTTCAGTCTCTCCCCTTTCCAATCCAACCTCCACTGAGCTACCAAATTAGTTTTTCTAAAGTACAAACCTGACAATGTCACAATCTTTCTCAATGAACTCTAACAGCTCCTTATTGCCTCCAGGATCAAATATAAACTCTTTTGTTTGACATTTAAAGCTCTTCACAACCTACCTGAACCCGCCTTTTCATTTTTATTGACCAATATTCTCCTCCGTGTGAAATGAGATGCAGCCAAACTAATTCTTACTGTTTCTCATCCATAGCATTCCAATTGTTGCTTCCATGCATGTGTAATAGATATCTGTCATGCTTTAAATGCACTCTCTTCTCACCTGCTTCTCTCAAAATTATGACTTTCCTTCCTGGTTCAGCTCAAATGCCACTTTCTATGCAAAATGTTTTCTAATCTTTCCAGCTCCTAGTGCCAAATCTTTGAAATTACTAGGAATACATTTTGTCTATACCTACAACAAGGATGTACTACTAAATATTTAACAACTGGCTCTCCAAAAACTGCCCAATACACTTTTAGAGTTAATCTGAATTATTAACATTTTCTTCATTATCTTATAAAGTCTAAACAACCAACACAAAAATAAATCAAGATCCAACTTGTAGCCTTAACGAATTTCCAAGATGTAAATGCTCATATAGAAATCTTAACAATGGGCTTTTATAAACCAGTAGGTGCTAGCTCCAGCACACCCCTACAATATGAAAGGCTTTTATGGTGTAGTGGACAAAAAGTTTTATTAGGAGGTTTTATTAGTTCCAGTCCAATCTCTGACACATAATGACTATGTAACCCTGCCCTTCTTTTGAAAGGAATTTGGAATTATGCTTAGAAAGTGACTGTCTTCATACCTTTTGAACCAGACATAGCACTGGTAGACATACACCCCAAGGAAGTAGAAAAGGGGGGGGGGGAATGTTCCATATAAACCATAATATTCATAGTAGTGTTTCATTTTTGTTGTAGCAGAGAACTGGAAACAAAGCCAATGCCCTTTGACTACAGAATAATTAAACGCTGAGACTTGAATATAATGAAGGGAGAAAGGTACCTGAGATGTGGTGGTAATTGGAACCTGTTGCGCACATCATCAAAGCGGTTGCCCAGGTAAGGAGTGTCTACAGTCAGAAAAATGCCCTTGTAGCTGTTCCTCTCAGCCCTCTCCACAAGCTGTTTGGTGACCTCCCGGTCTTTGTAGATGTACAGCTGCAGCCAGCGAGTGCCCTCAGGGGCAGCCTGGGCTACTTCTTCAATGGAGGAGGTCGCCCAGGTGCTTAGCATCATACCTGTTCCCACAGAATGGCATGCTGAGGAAGAAGATGAAAGGTCAAAGTGGCCATGATCTTAGGACTCACGTCTTGATGATGGTCCAGGTCAAAAGGTAAAAAAAAAATGTCATTCAGATATAGACTAAGTACTCTAATTGGAGAGTGAGAAAGGATCCATTTTGCTGATAATGGCAGAGAACATTAAAAACATTGATTCATAAGCTTTCAACATTTCATCAAATGAAAGGTAAATAAACATTAAGGTGAGGTTGAATACAGCACAAGTCAGAAGAGCTAGAAGTAGAAAAGGACAGTAGAGGTCATTGAATCGAAGCCATTTATTTTGTGGATGAGGAAACTGAAGACCAGGGAAGTTAAATGACACCAAAGTCACTTAAGGGTCAAGATATGAATCTTGTTTTTTGATTACAAGTCTATACTATGCAGCTTCTCAGTGCTTTGCTGGTATATGCCAATCACAAAGCACACCTTTAGATAATGCTCAGGGGCATAGGGAGCTGTGATTTGGGGAAAGTAACAACTTCATGGAGCATAATTTTGCATATCTATTGATCACTGCTTCTCCAAATTTATGAAAGGAATCAAATGAAAGAATGCATGACTCTGTACCTCTCTAATGCCCTTATCTGGAGCCAGCCCTGGAGTCAAAAGGACCTGAGTTCAAATCCAGCCTCAGACACTTATTAGCTGTATGAACCTGGGCAAGTCACTTGCCTCAGTTTCCGCATCTGTAAAATGAGCTGGAGAAGGAAATGGCAAACCACTCCAGTATTTCTGCCAAGAAAACCCCAATGGGGTCACTAAGTGTCAGACATGACTAAACAAGAACAATGCTTTTATCGTGTTCCATATTATTTTATACTTACTATTAGACAGTAAAGTTTCTTACCTAAGCCATGTATCCCTCCTAACAGACCATTTCTCTGCACATACTATGATTTTAATAATATTGTTGAACTCAGTTGACTTAAAAGCACTTTGAAATGCCCTATAGATATGCTAAGCAAGAAAAGCTATGCTATGCAATGAAAAATGTGTTAGCCTGCTATGTTGACCTTAGCATCACAAGGCCTGAGTTTGAATCCACTTTGATACTTCTTAGCTATGTCCCTCAGCAAATCAGATAACTCCTTTTTGGTCTTAATGTCAATGATTTCTTAAACACTGCTGGCATTTCCCAATAACCTCCTCCAATAAAACTCTTCCTTTTAAGGAAAAGTACAGTTAATCCAAATATTAACACATGGACCACTGACCATATCTGACAGTATAATTCCTCATTAGTATGAGGAATGCTTCCCTCCTTTCTCTGCTACTGAACCTTCCTTCTTACTAAAGAAAAAGAGCTAGGCAAGACCATGCAATACAAGAACTATTTCTGTTATTCCTTGCCATTCTCCTCTCCCATAATGACCCTAGCTTCATCATCAAGAGAAGGAAAGAGTGTTTAATGATCTATCCTCTAGAATGAATATTGTTCATTTCAACTAATTTAAGTTCAGTTGCCTTTTTGTATTATTTTTATTTACTTTGTTGTATACTTGTATATATTGTTCTCCCATTTCCACTTACCCTACTCTGTGCCAGTCCATTTAAGCCTTTCCACGCTCTCTGAATTCCTTTTATTAATTGTTTCTAATGGTACAATAACATTAAGTTATGTTAATATGCCATGGTTGATTTAGCCATTTCCCCTAATCAATAGCGCCCACTTCATTTGTGGTTTGTTGCTACCACCACAGGGCTGCTATTAATATTTTGACAAATACGAGATATTTTAAAATTTTTGCTTCTTTAGAGTATATATTCAGTAGTAGGATTGTTGGATCAACGGGTATAAACAATTTAAGCTTTTTCACATAATTTCAAATTATTTTCTAGAACACCTGGACCAATTCATGGTTCCTCCAACAGTGTCTTAATGTCTGCTTTCTCAAAGCCCCTCCAACATTATTTCAGTATTACCATCCTTACCAATTTGACAGACATAAAAGAAAATCTTAGAGATAATTTAATGTTCACTCCCCTTATTGTTAGAGATTTGGAGAACTTTTCCCCTTATTGTTAGAGTTTTGGAGAACTTTTCCATATGGTTGATGATAGTTTTCATTTCTCCTTTTCAAAACTGTCCATATCATTTGAGTAACTTATCTTTGGGGGATCTTGATTTTTATATCTGTAACAGTTCCCTATATAGCCTGGAAATTAGACTGTTATATGTTTGTTGCAAAAATTTCACACACACACACACAAACACACATACACTACCACTTCTCATCCAGCTATTTCATTCACCAAAAGCTTTTAAATGATATATAATCAAAACTGTCTATGTTGGTTTTTATGATCTCTTCTATACCTGGTTTGGTCAAAAATTCTCTTCCAGCTATAGCTTTAAAGGTATCTCCTTCCATTCCCATTTTCAAATCACTTAATTGCTCTATATGTCAGCTTCCTCATCTATGGAGTAGAAATAATAACACCTGCAACTCTTATCTCCTAGGATTACTGTAAAGAAAACACTTTTGGAAACCTTAAATGTGAATTCTTAGCACTATTAGAGTTATGTTTATTATAAACTAAAGCTTAAATAGTTATAAAAATGACTTTTTCTGTTCCAAAACATGTTCTTTCTCCTTTTCCTCTTAAATGCCCTAATTTTAACTTATAAACCAAACATTGGGCTCTTTAAAATATACAAATCAGAATTTTTAAAACAAAAAAAAATTTGTAGATCATATGTTCCAGTCTTTCCATTTTACATATTCAGAAATTAAGACTGGGAAAAACCAATGTTACTTTTCTTATCACTGGCATGCTGCCCACCCCTTGGAATATTCATTCCCTGGTTCTGAGAGGAACATTGACACATATACTTTTTCTTCATTATACTGATATCCAGCATTTAGCAACTCAGAAGGACCACATTGTTAAACTACATTTGAATTCCTTCTCATAATATAAGCATGGTCTCCTTTCAATAGTTACTAATATCATTTTAGAAATTTTCTGATTCCTTTTGCTCCTTAAATCTAACAGTTAATATTAACAGGATGTAGTATAAATCATTTTCCATATTTGACCATCAGGTGGCACTTTCGAGCAAGGTATGCTAAGCAGGCATTTTCCACCACCACCACTCTCTGCCCCTCACCTCAATGTCTCTCTCTCTCTCACACACATACACACACACACACACACACACACACCCTTCTGCATTTCATGAACTCCACCCTTCCTGCTTTCCCCTTCTGGGGCATGGCTTTTATTTCAAATGCTTTGGAAACTGCCTTCCAATGGAAAGAAAATGGTTGCCCACTTACGCAGTGAGTGGTAGCCTTATCTTGCCCAGAACTAGGACACCATGTTACCTCCTGGCTGTTTCCAAACCATGATGGATTGTTTGGACACATATCCTCCTCAATTTGCAGCTTTCCTTTGCTTTTATTTGTATCTCCAGAGCTTAAGCCAGTGTCTGGCACCTAGCAAATATATATTTTTAAAAAATGTTTTATCTATCTACCTATCGATAATGGACAGCTATTGAAAACAATTTCCCAAAGTTTTATAAAAATGAACCTGGCAATAGTGCAAAAGATAGAAAATAATTTTTAGAAATCTTGTATGGTATGTAAAGGTACATACTATATAATATAGTATGTAAAGTGCATACATATCCTGTATGTAAAGGAATTATTATTACTCTTTATAACATTAGATGAGATCTCAATTCCCTTTCAAAAGAGAGAGAAACAAACTATCATAAAACTTGGGATTTATGTGAGTGTAAGTAAATACAAGTAAGAGAATGTCCTTCCCCTTCCTTTGGCAAAAGCTGTTCTATGGATCAGCCATTCACCAGTCTGTGTAATTCTACTCAGTTTCAGAGCAAGAAAAGATTAGGAAGTGGAAGAGCTTGGGCAAAAAACTCTTTTACAAAAGTTCTGTTAAGCCATTCTGTTAATAGTATGTACTGTATGTCTTTAGCTTCCCATTTGACTTTTTAAAAAATTATCAAAACTATATGTACATAACTACAACAGTATAAATGGAAAGGTGAGGAGGGAGGGGGGGAGAGAAAAGGAGAGACAAAGAGAGAGAGACAGAGACAGAGAGACAGAGACAGAGAGAGACAGAGACAGAGAGAGAGAGAGAGAAGGAAATTGTCATGGAAGAAGAGTTGAGAAAATGCAACTACTTTCCTTGCAGAGGTTGGAGACTATGTTGTATATACTGTCAGACTCAACTGATGGTTTGATTAGTCTTAAACTTTTTTTTTTCTTTTTCCTTCCTTTTATTTTTTGTAACAAAGGATGACTCACTGGGTAAGGAGTTACGTGAATTATTTATTTAGAGATGGAATTAATGTGAAAGCAAAAGATGTGAATAAAATTTTAAAAGTAAAAAAATTAAGTATATACATGTAAAGAAAAATATCATTTAACTGTAAGTATGAAAATAATAAAATGAGATCAACATCACTATTTACTTCAGGACCAGAAGGACATGTGATTTAATTCATTGTACAGATCACGACCCTAGTATTCCTGAGATGCTATGGCTGAAAAAAATGCATCACCTTTTGTCTAACCTTCTAAGAATGATCCTATACAAACTTTACTAACCAGGTTCTTTGACCAGAGACATGGGATCCATCAGCAGGATGATATATACTCAAAGGTATACTCAAAGGTTTTCCATATCCATAGTGCCAGATCAAGTTTGTGCTCCCATGGCATGGCCATTGTCACCACCACCTCCTGATTCCTGTCACATGATACATTAACAGAGGGATGAGAATGTGGGCTATCTGCAAAGATGCAAGCAGTTTATCCTAGCATGATTTTTTAGGGAGCAAAAATAGGCAGTAGTAGTTTCTTCTAAGACACTCCCTTCCTAATGTGGATTTATACATAATGCCAATCAAATCATATGCCTTCAAAAACACAATAAATATAGATTGTAAAAAACTTGATATAACACAGTTAGCTTAGAAGGTGAGTGTAAGCTCTATCTCC